TGAGAAGTCATCAGGGAGGGGCCAGTATTCGCAGTTGCGACAAAATGCTCGCAATTGTGAGAGGAGCGACATCTGCACCTGAACAAAACATCATTTGGACGGGATTTCAACTTCATTCTTCAAAATTTCGAACCCTAAGCATCCCTAGGCGATTATTCAAAGACTCAAACTTCTCCAAATTATAGGTAAGTGATTCCTAACCCATCTTCTTCAATCTAATTCATCTTTTTACATGATTTCACTTCGAAAAAGGGTTTTTCATGGGAAATTGGGTGTTCTTGGGCAGAAATTAGGATTTTTGAATTTTGGGGTTTGCACCTCAAATTGAGGTCGGATTTCAAAATCAATTGCATATTTGAGTTCGTGGGTGAATGGGTAATCGAGTTTTTGTTCGAACTTCGAGTTTTGACCAAGCGGGCACGGGGTCGATTTTTGATTTTTTGGGGAAAACATTGGAAAATCTATATTCATGCGTTAGAATTAGTTTATTTAGCATTTATTGATGTTATTAATTACGTTATGACTAGATACAAGCGGATTGGAAGTGGAACCGAGAGGTAAAGCGGTAATTGAGGCTTGATTTTGCCCATGGAATAGAGGTAAGTGTTTGGTCTAACCTTAGCTTGAGGGAATAGGTGTTGTGGTTTTATTTGCTACGTGTTAGTGTTGAGTACGACGTATAGGTGTGGTGACGAGTATCTATACGTTTGTGTCAAGCATGCAAATGAATCTTATATTATGACCGCTATGTCTTTTATCACGTACCGTTCATGCTTAAAAAAAGATGTTTCTCTATGTTGAGCAAGTTGTATGATAGTGTTGAATATTTGACATCGTTGAGTATTGACTCAAGTTGGGAATTACTTCGTGAAGTTAATTGTTGAAACGAAATTTGTTATAGATGATTCCATTACTGGGATGTTATTGTTTCTATTGTTGATTCCCTTGCCGGGATGTTATTGTTTCTATTGTTGATTCCCTTGCCGGGACGTATTGTTTTTATTGTTTGGGTGAGGAAGAGCGCAAAGCACGAAGGATGATGCCGTACATGATATTGTGAGTGAGTGTTAATGCACGAAGGGTGATGCCGTGCCGATATTTTGAGTGTGAATGCACGAAGGGTGATGCTGTGCCGATATTGTGAGAGTTAATGCACGAAGGGTGATGCCGTGCCGTTTCTGTTATTTTCTTATGGTGAGGACGAGAGTAAAAGCACGAAGGTGCCGTGCACTGTTGATACCTAATTTTTTCCTGTATTTTTTTTAAATATGCAAAATACCCTCAAAATAGCCTATATAAGCATATATAAGTACATCCCAAGGAAGGACATCATGTGGCCTCCCCTCCTCCTCCTAACGAGATAAGTACTAATAAGTGTGAGATCTTCTCGAACTTTAGTGAGAGAAACTCTCCCATCTCTCTAAGAAATACCAATTAGAGAGAGAAAGTGCGCTGCTCGTCGCCATGGCCACTCCGGCCGGTGGCCCACCACCTACTGTGGCGGGGCTGCCTCCCCAACCACCCCCAACATAACCCAACCATCTACAACACCAAACAACAACCATACACCGTTGGATTATTCAAAAATTTTGAAGCCTGCTACGATGAACAGTGCCATGCACGAGAAAGCTTCAGCAGTTGATCCAATCCCCCTTCGTCGTGCTACATTGTTTAATGGACAGCCTATGGTTCAGTTTACGGAAGCAGAAGTGGAAAGGATGAATGTGATCGAGGGTCTTCAATATGCAGTCGTTGGAAAGCTCTCATATGGATGGCCTGATCTACAGCAATTGCGACATATGATCCCTACGCAATGTGGAATCAAAGGAGAATACAGCATTGGATATCTTAGGGACAAGCATGTTTTAATTCGTCTGACTTTGTGGGAGGATTTCTTGAATTTTAATTCAAAGGGCGCTTACTATATCAAGGATAGAGATGGATATGAGTATCAGTTAAGGCCGCTAATTTATGATGCAAAATTTAAAGCCGGTGAAGAAACTCCAAAAGCTATGGCATGGATATCTTTTCTAGGTCTGTTGCCTACATATTTCGTTAAGGAATGTTTGTTTTCCCTAGTTTCAGCTGTAGGGAAGCCTTTGCAATTAGATATGGCCACTATCAATAAGACAAGATCTAGTTGTGCTAAGGTTAAGGTCTTAGTTGATCTACTTGCTGATTTACCTAAGAAGGTCAGGATGGACATACTGAATGAGGCAACAGGAGGGGTACGTACTGAATGGGTGAATATTAGATATGATATGCTGCCTAAATATTATAAAGAGTGTAAATTACAAGGCCATGACATGATGGAGATTACATCCTGAATTATTTGAAGACAAGAATAGTGCAAAACAGGATGCAGATCACACTGAGCAAACAGGGATAATAACCAGCCTCTAATGATCTTATCAAGTGGGAAAGTGGTAGGTAATTTGGCAGGCAATGGGAAGGAACAATGGAAAGAAGTAAGGGATAATCGAGTTAGAAACGGTGCAAATCAGAAGGAAACACAAGTTATTGGAGCTGAAATTACTGGAAAAGAATTAATACTAGTTGGAAGAGAGATGGTTGCTGTTGAAAAATCTGCAGATCAAAGGGTTCAAACAGCCAACAAATTTGCATTATTGGAGGTAATTGATGATGGGAATAATGAGAACAATCAGTTGGCAATAGTAGAGGTGAATGCAAGTCAAAAGAGTCCTGTTCAAAACTCTAATGAAGCTTGGAGATTAAATCCAGCTGCTCCAGCTTTTAGACCTACTGCTCCTGGGTTGCATCTTCTAAAGTTGGTAACACACCAAATTCGAAGGAGGCTGGGAAAGGAGATAGAGTAACAACTGATCAAGGTGTTCCTAAAGAGTCTACTGCTCAATGGGATGGTAGAACATTTGTTAATAATATTGCAACAAATCAGTCATGTCAGGATGTTCCCTCACAGTCAGTGGAATTTACTGCAATAGATGGGATAGTTGAGGGAGATGAAGGAATACAACTAGATGGGAAGAAACTGTGGCATCAACAAACTGAAGTGGATTCAGAAGAAGGAGAATTACCAGATGGTGCTAGTGGGGAGGAGCAATCAGCAGATGAAGAGAATGATCAGTAAGAGCAAAGTGTAAATAACAGAAACAAAGGGCAGGAAACAAGGGTAGAAAGCAGTAACACTATGAAAGAAAGTGTACAAATTGCAGAAGTGCAGAGGGTTTCAGAAGAAGATGGAAATAAGTAGCTATTGAGTCCTAATCCTAGCAAGGAGTTGCCTCCAGCTGATCCAAACATAGGCCCTGCAAAACCTACTGGTGGTACAGAGAAGGGAGTAGAATCCAGTGATCCTCAATTACCAAAGGCTAGAAATGAAGAAATAATTGAGAGGCCTACAGATCCTAAACAGAGAAGAAGTGCAGAGGGAGTCAAAGACAAACAGGGTGATGCAAATAAAGAGCAGCTAAGTAAAGAGAAGCAGCTACTGCATTGATCCCTATCAATATACAACAACAACTAGCAGCACAAGGTGATGATCTTAGAGAGGAGGACAACATGGAAGAGGCAGGGAGAGACTTTGATGAAGAATCAACAACACAAAATTTTAAGAATGTGGCAAGGATGGGTGATCTATCTCCTAGGCATCTGGAAAGAGGAAAATCAGCAGGGAGAGGTAAGAAGAAGAACCCAAAAGAGTTTCGAGGTGTAGTTCCTGGGGTCCAAACAAGAAGGACCCTATCTAAATCTCACAATTAATAATGAATTCAATCATATGGAATGTGAGATCAGTCAAGACAAAGAAAGCATTTGAAAGACTAATCAATATGAATAGGCAGCATCACTTTCATTTCATAGGGATTATGGAACCAAAACAGAATGCAAGAAAGCTGGAATGGTACAGAAGGAAAATTGGAATGTTACTGGCTTTTGGTAACATATCAAACCAAATATGGGTGTTTGTAGATGAAGATCATGGAGTAGAGGTTCTGATAAACATGGAACAGCAGATGACAATGAAGATCACCAATATGGACACCCAACTGTCAGTCATAGCAACCTTTGTGTATGCTAAATGTGATCCCATTGAGCGTAGAGAACTATGGGATATCATGTACTATTTGGCCGGAGATATGTCACTTTCTTGGCTTGTGGGAGTGATTTCAATGTTATTTGGGATGAGGAAGAGAAGTTTGGTGGATTGCCTGTATCACTGAATGAGGTTAATGATTTTAGGCATTGTGTTAACACATGTAATCTCACTGATTTAGGCTTCAAAGGCAGCATATATACATGGTGGAATGGACAGGATGGAGATGATTGTATTTTCAAGAGACTGGATTGGTGCTTGGCTAATACAAAATTTCAACATATGTTTCCTGCTCTTGAAATCGCTCACCTATCTAAAATAGGGTCTGATCATAACCCTATGTTATTGAAGTGTAGAAAAGATGCAACACTAGTAAAAAAGGCATTCAGATTTCTCAATTTTTGGACAAAACATCCCACCTTCAAGGTTGTTGTAAAGGACAACTGGAGGGTTGATTTTGCTGGTGATCCTTTATTCTGTTTAATCACAAGTTGAAGAAACTAAAGAAAGCGTTATCAACATGGAGTAGGGCAACCTATGGGGATATATTTCAGAAAATAGCAAGTTTAGAGGAAGTGNTAATGGTACATGAAGCTGAGTTCGAGAGGCATCCAACATCTCAAAATAGGGAAAATTTGCAGAAAGTCTAAGCTGAACTTATTAGATATTTGGCTCTTGAGAAGGAGTTTTGGAAGCAAAAATCTGGTATGGTGTGGTTCCAAGATGGAGATAGGAACACAATTTTTTTTCACGCACAAGTAAATGGTAGAAGGAAGAGACTCCAATTGAAAAGAATACAGAATGAAGCATGAATCTGGTTGGAAGAGGAGGCAGACATGGCAGAGGAAGCAGTAAGGTTCTATCAAGCACAATTCCATGAAGAATCAGTCCCTAGCTCATTTTTGACATCTTGCAACATATCCGTACAATGGTGGACAATGGTAAAAACATTGAATTAGTGCATCAGCCAACCAAGGAAGAGATCAAAAGTGCAGTTTATGGGCTCAATGGAGAAAGTGCTGGAGGTCCGGATGGTTTTAATGGTACATTTTTTCACTCATGCTGGGACATAATAGGTGATGATATAGTAGATAGTGGTAGTAAAGTCTTTTTTACAAGTGGACATGAATTGACCAAGTATTTAGTAACTCATACTAATTTGGTTCTTACTTACCGAAAAAA